AGCCAAAGCAGATTGGAGTCGCTTGCATTCCTGTGCATGAGACGCAGGAGGTCCCGTCCTTGAAACTAGGGTTTAGGGTTTAGGGTTTAGGTAACATGGAACCCCAAAGAGCCACGTTCTGACAGGGCAGTAGATTGTTTGGGGTCCCGTTTAGATCCCATGTTCCTTGCAAGGAGGGTACATAGTTTGGGCAGTCTCGCGCCGAGTTCGCTGGATGTTGAAGTTGGGAATTGGGAAGTGAAGCACGGGGCGGTCTAGTCACTAGTCAGGAAGCCCTGAGCTTGGCGAACATGAAAGTTTCAACAACACATACAGCAACACGAGTAGGAAGAGGTAGAATTTAGACTAACACTGGCAACTAAGCAGCAACAGAAGCAGAACGACTAACGGTGAGAACATCGGTGATAAGAGTATCAAGTTTATTGGAAGTTATGTCAAAGGAGACGTTTGTCATGAGCTCTGCTTCGTGCTTTGCCCTCGGTTCCGCTTCCCTCCTTCTGTTGTCCACGCTCGGCGCTGACAGTTTTCCGGGCTAGCAAGCTTGGTCCAGACTCAACCATCACGACCTGAGCCAGCCCCTAAACCCAAAGCCCCGCATCCCAGGGCTTGACGAGTGTCCCAAGTGCTGTGCCTGCAGCATGATGCGATGATGAGACGCAGATGACATGACATGAAAGTGTTCGGCCTTGGGGTGTAGGGTTCTACACTGACATGAGTTCTGACGGTTTAGGGTTTAGGGTTTAGAGTTTAGGGTTACAGCCAGATCTACAACGCAAGGGTAAGCACTGCGGCACTCGGGACTTATGATTGCTTCAGGTCGCGTTGTGTTGTGCCGTTGTGCCATGATGCCACCACCGCATGACCTTCCCATTTCTTAAGGCCACTTAGAGGTTCATGGGACTTAGTAACTGGGGTTATAAATCGGGTAACTAGACTTATAATTACTTATAACCCCAATCAGGGTACTTATAACCTTACTTACTAAGTGCCATGATCCTCCAAGCACCCCGCTTAACCATGAACTCCGACGTCCTGAGCCTTCAACCCTAAGCCCAAGGCCTGGAGCTGTAAAGCTGCAAAGCCCTAAACGAAAATCCGAATCCCCTTCTTCCCGTTTCTGATGCTACATGCCTGTGACCTTCAAGCAGACAGCAGCCTACCGAAGCGCCTCGGATCCCTGGGCAAAAGCCGGAATGGGCCTCGTGCTAAGCTCTGCTCAAGCCTTAATGTAGGGGCCTAAATAAATCCCCATGCCATTTTGGGGGGTTCCTGATTATCATTATAGTATAATATACTCCACAACCCTCTTCGAATTGTTAGTTAGCATATACCATTTCCATTTTCTAACCATGCACCACCCCCTAGCACCCAAACCATAACAACCTATACCTCAACCTTCAACCCACCCAAGACCGATAGGTAGAACCCTAGGAATGACTCACCTGAAGACCCAAAACCACAACAACCTATACCCCCCCCATGGAACCACCGAAAGACCCCATAGGAAGACCCATACTAAGACCCACATGATGAAACCATATCATGGAACCACCCATACCCCCCATAGAAAAATAGCATACTCAAGCCCATAAACCCACACCCCCATAGAAAAACCATAATACCCAACCCGAAACCCCTAACCAGTTATATCCTTTAAGAGTTTATGGCTTATAACTACACTATGACATTACCTTATTACCTAAACCTTATTACTAATATAGATACTTTATTAGAGATGACCATTTCCATTTTCTAGGGTTAGGGATTTCGGGTTGGGGAAAAGAGTTTTTCTATGGGGGTATTGGTGTATGGTGGTTTGGTGGTTACTTGCTAGGGTTTTTTTGGTGAGGTTGGGGTTGAGGTATAGGTTGTGATGATTGCATAAATAGGGGCAAAAGGGGGGGTGCATGATTAGAAAATGGAAATGGTCATCTCTAACTTTATTAAGGCCCCTACAGTATGTAAACTGACACCGCTAAGCCCCTAAGCCCTTCTGGGGGTTCGGGGTTTAAGGTTCAGGGTTTAGGGTTTAGGGTTTAGGTTTAGGCGGAGCTTCTGGAAGCAAGCTGGAAGCAGAGTTCGAAGTATCGGAAGCGCCTTTATATTTCAGGCAGGTCTTGTTCCATTTTCCCTGTCGAGGGATTTTCTGTACTCAGCCCCAATAACACATCAGGCCAGGAAGAACTACAGTCGTTGATCTAGAGTACTGTTGGTAGATTACACCCTAAACCCTAAACCCTAAACCCTTACTAGACTATTGCTTTGGGTCTCGTCAGAGTGCAGGGTCTAGGGTATGTCTGCGACGTTGATCCGAGTGGCTGCAGGGCGAGGATTTCAAGAGTAGAGTTTGGGGCTGGCCCCCACCCTGTGGCCCCAAGCAACCTAAGCATGTTCCGTGAGCCAGGATGGGAAAGCAGAAGGGTTGGAATGAGTCGTACTTGAGTTTGCTTTGTCTAGGTCTCCCAGAAGCTGGAACTGTTTGCGTCCTGGCTGTGCCGACGTTGCTCCCTTGCCAGTCTATACCTCCTGTCGGCATCTGCATCCTTGAAGGATCGGTTGTTGTAACGTGTTTTGGGGTTTTAAGGGGCTTCTAGGGTTTACAGTGGCTGAACTAAAGAATCAGGGGACTTCGCAGGTAGATTCCACAGAGAGTTTCAAGTGCGCTGACCGTGGCTCTCCAGTACCTCTCACGTTGCTGATGTGCCAGTTGAAGCCCCCCTAGGCCTAGTCCAACTTAAGTCATCCCAACTTTCCAGCAGGGACACTGCTGCCTGGTTTTTCTCAAGTTTGACTTAAACGCTACCGGAAAAGTCGTATTTCCTAAACTGAAAACCCTGAGACTCTTCAACATCAAGCAGGTCCAAATGCCTTGAACGGCATAAGCAAACCCCCAACTCTCTGCAAAGGGTGCCGTGCTGGCGCTCTGCCGCGAAGCGTTGCTGAGGCATCGGGCCGTTCGGGAAGTTTTGCTGAAGGCGTCGGCTTTTTCCGCAAGCAGTAAGAGTCTGAGTCAAAATCCAGAAGCTATCTCAGAACGAATCGCCGGGCTTGACCATCAGGTGGAAGGCAACAGATTTTCGAAAAAGCTGTTCATCCAGTTCATGATCCCTAAACCCTAAACCCTAAACCCTAAAGCGAACTCTATAGGCTCTAAACCTTGGACCCCGGAATCTCGTGCCCCTCCTCAGCGATCCAGGCTTGACCTGCGCAGTCACACGGCGTGCGGATGCCCAGGGAAGTTGGACTTTGATTTACTTTCGATAACCCTAACCCCCCAGGTACCTACTATATAGGGTACTAGAGCCCCTAGGCCCTATATAGTAGGTACCTGGGAGGTTAGAGTAAGGTCGGCCTCAAAGTTTAGCCTTCATAGGATTATGCGGGGTTCAGGGTTTCGGGAGTGGGATCGAAGGGCAAGTTCAAGCTCCACAAATCTTGAGGCCCAAACGTATTATATTTACCTTAGGCTTGGCACAGACTCGGTTTGGAGCATTGCTTCCACATCTTGGCAGCATGTCTGAGTCGGCAGTCAGGATGTTTAGCCCTGGTAGCAAGACGGTAAAGCGCAAACTCTGACTCCTAAGCTTCAATGGGTCTTCGTCCAAGAAGCCTCGTAGTGCAACAGTGCAACTAGGACGCACCCCCGACTTGGCGTGGTGGACCATGTCGCTTGCAACCCGCTTGGAGCTGCGACTTGCGACGAGGCTTTGGGGCTTCCGTTCCGTGTTTAGGGTTTTGGGTTGAAACACCTAGGGCCGTCTACCCATCAGACCTCACCTCCGACGTAAACCCGAACTTGCCCGAAGACTGCAGAAGTTGGAGAGAGGACACATGTCCAGCACTGTCAGAGCACCTACCGGCTCCGCTACAACTGCTCTTCATGCTGTCCGCAGCCCTCAATTCCCAAGCCTGTCTCGGGAGGAGAACATAGGGTAGCAGCCCTGAGCCACAAAATCCAACAACCCGGAAAGCACACATCCGAGCCCCAAACCTAGCATGAATCCGAAGCCTGAGACTGTAAAGCCCTAACCCTGAAGACCCCCAAAGCCTCTTGGAATGTAGGCCGAAGAGCTCCCTGTGGTCCATTCCCACTGATCACGGAGGAATTTGCGTTTTGTTGTAGGGTTTAGGCTTGGGGCAATGGATTTCGTTTAGGTCCAGGTGACGAAGTCATATTTTCGAATCCCTTGCGATGTGTCCGCCTTTGCCCCTCGCGTGGCAGCTGCCTGCTGGTGGCCGCAGGCCCTCGATCAGGCGTTAAGGAGATGTTGGGGTTGGCGTAGGTTCAGAAAGATTCAGGTTGCCTGGAGCTTCAAGAGTACTGAGAGCTCTGCGGGCTTAGGGATTCAGACGGAAAGTGATGGAGCCCAATGGCAGGGTGCACGCAAGACGCAAGAAGGAGGATTGGGGCCTATAGGGATGATCGGGTTGAGTTTGCACTTGTCTTCGGGATGTCGTCGAGTGTTGGATGCAGGGAAACTTATTGGGGCTCAGGAAGGTCCCAAAAGGAGGTGCAGCCGTGCCCTGGACCTAAAGCCTGAAGCAAGAGTAGCATTATTCCCCTGTAGTCCCTATAGAAATATTGCATATAATACAGCCCACACCTACTTGCTAACTAGTACGCCCCCTATGCTAGATGAAAACTTGCGAGCGCTGCGGCCCTGCCCTTGTCTCCTAGGCCCTAAACCTCCCTCAGCTGCCCGGTCTCCATTCCCGAGCTCTGGTATTCCTACGTTCCCGAGCTTTGGTATTCCTAGACATGCTCAGAATCCAGTTTAGGATGGTTTAGGGTGTATACAGTGCAAGGCTTTGGAGGCTTGAATTAGGGTGGATCAAGGGTTTGGGATCGCGGAACTCTTGGGTTTCGCTGTCCCCAAACCCGATACCCGAAACTCCGAAACCCTAAACCCTAAACCCTAAACCCTAAACCCTAAACCCTAAACCCTAAACCCTAAACCCTAACCCCTACCCCGCTGTGTTGCTCCATCTCTCCTTCCAAGGCTGTTGGGTCCCAGCGCGTGGCATCCGGATGGCCTCGGAGGTGCTGCTGGCTGAGGTGAAGCGTTGGTTCTATGCGCAGGAGAGGGCTTAGGCAATCTTGTAGAGACACCTTATGAAGCCTTATAGGAAACCTTCAAAGAACATCACAAGAACCCCCAGAGCAACAGTTCCTGTGACTCGCATGCGCAGAGTTGTAGCCGGCAAGCAAGAGCTGGGTGTAAGTCTTCTGGCTGTCAATTTTTGCTGTGTTTGCGACGGAGCTTACTGCTGCTGCCCGTCAACATCCAAGTCGATTGATTAAGGCCTGTGTGTTACACAGGGGGGAAAGTTTTCTCTGAGGTCTTGCAATTCCCGATGTCGAATGACTCGAACATTCTCTGGTCAAGACCACTCCGATTTCTGCCTCTGTAGGTTTTATAACGGGTCTGTAAGGGTTACTCGAAGAGCTTCTATAGGGCCTATAGAGGGTTCTATAGCTACTACTATCTGGGTTGCATTGAGGGTTACCGTAAAGGTTTATGGGTTCGAAACCCTTCAAACCGTCATCTGCTTTTACAAGGACGGCTTCGCAGACGAGGCTTTTGCCTTCGCTGACCAGCATGCCGACTTCTTTGAGGTCACGGTCGATCTCGTTTCGATCAAGACAAAACCTAGCACGGATCCATTAATGTAGGGGTCTGAATATTTAGGATCCATTAATGTAGGGGTCTGAATATTTAGGGTCCATTAATGTAGGGGTCTAAATAGCTAGCAATCAGTATTGTCTCACGGTCCTTGTAAAGTCATGTTGCAATAGTAGGTAGGCTGTCTGAGAGTGGGTTACCAGTAGACAGGATGCTGGCTCTACATTATAGCACCAGACGGTTAGACTGAGGTTTGGGGGTTGAAAGTTACTATGACCTGAGGAACTCCAAAAACAGCAATCTCACTACTTAATCAAGCCCTTGCATTGCGAATCTACTCTCACGGCCCAAGAAGCAACTGTCCACGATGAGGCAGCTCGAAACTATTTCGACATGGGTGGTGAAGAGCACCGCCTGGACCGTCCGATTTACGGCTTATGGTTTAGATATGTTCAGAGTTCGGGTTCAAGGTTGAGGAATAAATAAGGGGGCGGTGTGCCATATCAGCATCCTGACAAGTCCATGAGCATATGTATGTATATATGTATATATAAATATATACGTACATACATGTAGGTATATATATATATATATCTCTCTCTCTCTCTCTCTTTCTCTTTCTTTCCTTCATGGCCGCCCCTTAAACTGCCCTCAGCTTGTCGATGATGCTTGAACGCATACCTTCGTTGCCCCGACGTTTCCGTTTGTGTCCTTCTAAGAGCCGTTAAAAGGATTGGACGGAGCTCCACCAAGCCTTCGTGGCCGACTTTTCTGGCCGCTTAGAGGCGACCCTGGACGAATAGCATGGGCTTGATTGATAAGGGTTCTGTCCGTGTGCTTGGAAGGGTTCTTCCAGGCTTCATCGGGGCTGTACAGATTTCAGAAGGTTCTACCTGGTGTTAGGCGGGTTTCGTGGGGTCCAACACAGGTATAATCGTAGAAGCATGTCGGGGCTGTCGAGGGCTATGATTATGACGGGAGGTTTTTGGGGCTGTAAAGGGCTTTGTAAGGGGTTTTGCATGGGTTCTCTAAAGGGAGCCAGGGGGGCATTTGAAGCTTTACTTTAGTGTTTTCACAGAGGGCTTGGTGGCAAGAGAGGCTTTGGGCTTTTGTTGAGGTTTCATGATGTTTAGCTCTTCCTTCCGGGAACATCCCTAAACCCTAAGTCTGGTAACACCCCAAAGCCCTAACGCCCTAAACCCTATGACCCTAAACATCCCTGAACCCTAAGCCCTGATAACACCTAAAAGCCCTAGACCCTAAACACAAAACCCTTAAACCAAAACCATAACCCCTTAAACCCTAAACCCCCCCTTTAAACCTTAAACCCTACACCTAAAGCCCTAAACTAGCTCTGCCCTTCTCAGGCCTTCTTGGCTCTCCAAGGCTCGGGCCTGGAGGCGACAACTTGGGGGCTCCCAGAGGTTTTCGTGGAAGGCGTTTAGAGTGGGTTTAGGGTTTAGGGTTTAGGGTTTAGAGTTTAGAGTTTAGGGTTTAGGGTTTAGGGTTTAGGGGTTCATATAGGTTTTCTGGAAGGTGTTTATAGTGGGTTTTAAAGGAGGCTTGTGAGGGCTTTGTAGGGCTTTTTTGGGGTTCGTATAGAGCTTTATAGGGGTTCATATAGGGGTTCATATAGGGCTTTATAAGGAAGCGGCTGGAAGTTTTGAGAGTTGAGAGGGCTTTGGAGGTGCTTACATTGCGGCTCGTTCAGAGAGTGCAGGTTTCAGCGTTGGCAGTTTCGAGTCGCAGCGGCAAGGGCCACGCGATCTTCAGACTGACCACAGTCGTACAACAATGGTAACTGTCGTCATGGTAGGGCCCAGGCTCCCCACCAGGAGAATCGTCATGTTGTGTTCAGATACAGTTCTCTCGTCCGATAGTCCAATGGGGCATCGAACTTTAATGGAGTTTCTCGTTTTCTTGGAGGAACCATCTCCTTGAAAGATGAAGGGCTCTAACAAAGCTACAACCCTCAATCCCCGGCCAGGAGGCTGCGGGCTTAGATCCCCAACTCTGGAAGGATAGGAACTCTAGAAAGGAACATGCCTTCTCTAACCACTAAGGCCCTCATATTCCACTCCGAAAGACCCATTGTATCCGTCATACTAACCCTTGTATACCATATGCCTACTAACCCTTACGTACCATATACCGACTAACCCTTATATACCATATACCTACTAACCTTTATATGCGATATGCCTCTTTCAAGAATCCTTTTCAAGAAGGCCCAGTCTAAGGGTTAAAGGCCCCCTCTTTGCACCCACCTCTCAGGGCCTTAGCGCTGCCTTCGAGGCCGTCGATCTCGGCGACGACCCTCAGGTGGGTGCCTTAATAATTAGAATAGGGTTGTGGGGGTTCCCTTAAGGGGTTCCTTAAAGGGTCCTATAATCATAACAAGGGACCCCCAAAATAGTATACGTAATTATTATGGCCCCTAAAGTATTGGGAACGAAAAGTGGGCTATACCCATGTGATACCATAAGTGGGTGAGTAGAAGTATATTCTACTATAAGTGTCTTGGGGAGTATAAGTACGTACGGGACTCTTAGTAAGTCGGGGACCACGAGGATTCACTTTGCCCTAACTTGAGCCACAGGCGCCTTGGTTTGAGTCGGGCCTTACACTTAGGTAATCGTTTCCTTGACGACGTTCCCTATTAAAATATACTATATTGTAATCCTCCCTGCCCCATTCTGAATGAGCTTAATGTACATCGCCAGAATTACTAACAGCACCACGCTGTAGTACCTAATACAATGATATCTTATGATGGACCCCAAACCGCCAATTGCGAGGGCCCCTTGGGTACACCCGAACCCCTATGGAGCCCAGTCGTTCAGCCCGGGGAAATGACCCGCGCCTCTGCCATGTATTCTGTTGCGGACTGGTACCATTTAAAACTGGATTCTTGTTGAGGTGTTTATATCAGTGCCAGGTTGTCAAAGCTGCATAAGTAAAATATGCCCTTCAGGTCAGGCAAATGTATTAGACATGCCTGCCGGATAGGCAGATTGAGGGAGAGGTCCTGTGTTGGGAGAGTTGGTTTAGGTTCAGGTTCACGGCCTCCAACAGTCAAGCGTTGGACATGAATAGTACTGTCGACTCCGATGCTTAAACCTCCTTGCTTCAAGAGTCTCAAAATTATCCCTACTACAGTCTCTATAGAGGGGAGGGGTTTATGAATCAGGGTTTTACATAAAGTCAGAATTTTGCTGTGGCTTGGGGTTTCGAGTTCCCTGCTTAGGATTTAGGCTTGGGGCTCTGGGTTTATGGCTTGGATTTCAGGTTTTCGGGTTTCAACAGGCTGCCGTGATGGTGCAGCTGATGCTGAACATGGCGGCCGCTCAGTTTCCGTTTGAGGGAGGGCAGTTTTGATTGCACGACTTCCTTCGTGTGCCGATCTTGTGGCAGGTGCTGACATGGCTGTTGGACAAAAAATCCTGCATTGCGTTTATACGTACAGCAAGCTACCTACTTGTGGTAGGTTCCTTGTACCGCACAGTGAAGGGGGTTATACATCAGCGTTACTTCCTCACATTGCTACGGCCTCAAGCCTAGACTGTAATACCTGCTAACCTCCTTAAAGGCACCATTAGCACCCGTTACACCTTCCCCCAATGATTTTCAACATTCGAATAGCATGTCTAGAGGAACCCTGAACCCCAAACCCTCCAAACCACCAAGGCAACTAAGAAGAACGCCGCATAACCCCGAGAAGGCCCCCCCAATTTAGCAAACAATCCTAAGCCCTAAACCCTAAACCCTAAGCCCTAAACCCCAAACCCCAAACCCTAAACCCTAAACCACAACTACAACCCCACTAAGGCCCCTTTGGCCTTGGTAGCCAGCTGAGGACTACGAGCCATGGCTCCAGTCGATGCTGACGCTTGTGGAGGAGCGCCGGAAGGAGGCCACAAGAAAGAGCTGTGATAGGGTTTAGGGTTTAGGGCTTAGGGTTTAGGGGGCCACAAGAAAGAGCTGTGATAGGGTTTTGAGTGGTTCTTGAGAGGGCTTTAGAGGGGCATAGGGGCCGTGATAGGGTGTTTTTCAATCGGGCTCTGATGGGATCTTCAGCAGTTTTTGTCAGTTTAGGGTTTTCTTAGGGTTTAGGATTCGATGGTCCATGGTCCCATGCCGGCTTTGGAGCTTGAAATTTGGAGTGTAAGGCTTAGAGTTTATCGTCGACCAGGTCTGTGTTGACTACGACGTACTTGTCAACATCATGAGCAGGATACATTCGAATTAGTTATCATCGCAGCCGTCAGTACTGATTTTTAGTACAGCTCTGTCATGGGATAGCAGTACCACTGCTGATTCTGATTCTGGTGCGAAGGCGAGCAGTCTGAAGTACTGACTAGGTGTTGGCAGCGATAGCTATGCCGACCAAAGTCAGAGTCGCAACGGCATCACAACCACAACGGACAAGTATGAAAGCCATAGCACTTCTCACCACCATAATCTCACCGCTTTATGTACGAGGGTGGGTCGCATCAGAGTACTGTTCATGACTTCATCCGTCCAAAGTTTGCCAGAGTGAGTTGCTGTTGGTGGTAAGATGGATAATATATGAAAGAGACGTCGTCAGAACATGTGCAAGAACAACCGCCGCCTTCTTACTAGGAGTAGTGATATCGTTGAGTATTCCTGACAACATGAGGAGGACTTTTTCGTGCGTGTAGTTCTTCTCGATGCATCCTCCAGACGGTGGTCGCTTCGATGATAGGGGTGCTTGTGTGTCTTGCAGCGTTGCGTGAGAGGCAGCAGGCAGCAGGACGTTTGTGTAAGCCGCGTCCTGCACGCTGCCAGGCAGCAGATGCATCCGGATCCGAGACCGGTCACTCGCTGGCATGTGTCCTCAGGTCCTCGTTTGTGGTCTTTCAGGGAAAGCCCGTAGCATCTGCCCACAGACTCCTCGGATCGTTGCCTTTTGAGTGGAGTGACTGGAACAGATGCATGGAATCCTGCACGGTCAAGCTGCTAGACATGGCATACGTCAGCACACAGCTGCTAGGTCCAGAGCCGCCAGCGGAGCCGGCACAGTCTGCGGATGACCTGGATGCCTTCATGTAGCGAGAAAAGCAGGGTTTAGAGTGCCTTCATGCATCGACAAGAGCATGGCTCCGTCTTTGGGAACTTCTTTCCAGAAAGCACCAGCCAGGCCGCGGCTATGGCCCTGGAGATTGGGCGCGGTCTGGGTGGAGAGTTGAAGGCGCCGGATGGTATGGCCATGTCTCGGTATACTTCAAGCAGTCTCTGTCTGTCTGTCTGTCTGTCTGTCTGTCTGTCTGTCTGTCTGTCTGTCTGTCTGCAAGTAAGTATGTACATGCATGCAGTTCGAGTGTTGTCGTATACAGAAGGGGGGAGGCCGTCATTCACAGCTTTCCGCACAGTGCAGTCTCTGGTGTGCCGGCACGGTCTCTGCCAGTAGTTTGCTTTATCAGCCAAATATGCCCAGCTCCAACACAAAGGTGCCGGTCTTCTTGTATGGGGCAGCCCGGGAGGCTGGACTGAAGATTGGCCTACCTTGAGCGTTTGGGGAATCCTTGGGGTGACCTAAAGACTGGATCTAGGCTCAATAAGGGGCACATGCGGATTACACATCCAGAACCCCATGGCCGACCGCCTCGCATTGGAGGATCGGCGGCCGCTAGCAGAGCTGCGGCGCAGCTTGGGGTGCCCGTTGTTGGATTATTCGATCAGCAGTGTGAGTTTTGCTAAGGAACTCGCACCAATGCCTTCCTCCTATGTTGCAAGGTGTGTTTGCTTGAACATGACGCACCGGCATCGTAACTAGTCAGGGTTGGTTGTTCTCAGCGCATGTCAAAGGTACTTCGGCGGCGCTGCTAAAGGCGAATGGTCCGAGCCTAAATGCGTGCTGTCTTCTGGTCTTTCTTGCGCAAGTATGACAAGAGGAGTAGTATCTTGCCGCCAAAGAGACCCGCCGCCACGGCCAACGGCAAAACTACAACCGGCAACAGCATCAATGCCGCCACCATGACCTCCGCCACCAGCCCGACCAGGACGACTAGTGCCACCCGCGGTAGGCGGTGGTTGCCTAGCATGCCCGACACCGTAACTCTCAGACCCTACACCCCTAACCCCAAGACCTTCTCTTCACAGCTGCACTCGGGCACATGGCCCAAAGTGAATACAAATGCGCTTGTTTTCACAAAATCACTGCTGCTCGTGACCATACTCGGTTCAATGGATACCACTTGCTTTAAGCTTCGTCTTCTATTCTTCATATTTGGTGTACCTTGAGTCGTCAATTAGCATTCCCGTTCTTGCCGTGTGTGTGTGTGTGTGTGAGCGTGCGTGTGTGCATTTGCAATTGAAAGTTTTCGGTCGCTTGTTTAATGATGATGGTCAGGATGTTGGTGACCATGAAGTCGGTAATGATGTTTCATGGCCATTACGACCATTACGATCTGACTAGCGTCACCTTTCATGTCGACTGGTGAGTTTTGTACCATGTCTACTGCTCTTCTCATTGCTGGTGTGCGTCGTTGTCGTTGTCGTTGCTGTTGTTGTTGTTGTCGTCGTCGTCGTCGTCGTCGTCGTCGTCGTCGTCGTCGTGGTTGTTGTTGTTGTTGTTGTTGTTGTTGTTGGCACTTCGGTTTCGCCGTCCTCATCACCGTAATGCAATTACGGATCGGAGTAATCAGTGATTGTATCCCATCGGGGCCCTATATAATCATGGCTTAGGATACCTCGAAACCTCCAGGCCCCTACCTGAATCCGTCGCAGTCCCTGGGTCCTTGTTGGCTACAAGTTTACACTTTTCTTACAACAAAACCCAATAAGGAGTAATAGTTACCGTTTTGACAAAGCCCCAACAGGGAACCAGGCACCGTTATAACTTGTTTCCATGAAGCCTAAGATGAAACCCGAAACCCGAAACTCTAAACCCTAAACCCGAGACCCTAAACCCTCAACCCGAGACCCGAAGCCCTAAACCCGAAACCCACCGAAGAGGTCTGGTCTCTCTGAAGAGATCAAGGCCGCCATAGCCTGGAGCTCAAGCTGATGGAAAGAGAGCGCCCCCTTAGATTCAGGGTTCGGGGTTAAGATTTTAGGGTTTAGTGTTTAGGGTTCGGGGTTTAGGGTTTAGGGTTCGGGTTTAGAGTTTAGGCTTCGGGATTTAGGGTTCGGGGTTTAAAGTGTTTAGGGTTCGGGGTTTAGGGTTTTGGTTTTAGGTTTTAGGGTTCGGGGTTTAGGTTTGGGGTTTCGGAAAAGAAATAAAGCAGCTGTCCTGGATGTTTAATGTCTGGAGCACTTGATTCTTGCAAGCTCGCGATGGAGGTGAAAGCACCCCATGCCAACGAAGTGCACTTTGACCACGTTGTCTTTCCTAAGCACCACGTTCCTCAATCCCCGAAACCCTAAACCCTAAACCCTAAACCCTAAACCCCTAAACCCCTAAACCCCTAAAGCCCTAAACCCTAAACCCTAGACCCTAAACCCTAAACCCTAAACCCTTGTCCGAGATCCTCGACCCCACTTTCTTCGCCTCTCTCCGTCACGAGGTAGCGCTGCCTGCAGACTGTGGGCCCAAGGGGGAGGCCCGGATCTGTGTGATTCTGGAGGTTATGGAGGGTTACGGTTTAGGGTTTAGGGTTTGGGGTTTAGGGTTTAGGGTTTAGGGTTTAGGGTTTAGGGTTTGGGGTTTAGGGTTAGGGTTTAGGGTTTTTAAAGGGTTGGAAGAGGGTTTTGGAAGCCCGCATACCCAAACCTGGTGCACTAAGTGCCAAACCCCAATCTGCAACCTATGGAACCTCAGCTTGTCTACACAAAGCTATTTGGAGGATCATGGGACTTAGTAAGTAAGGTTATAAGTACCCTAATTGGGGTTATAAGTAATTATAAGTCTAGTTACCTTATTTATAACCCTAGTTACTAAGTCCCATGAACCTCCAAGTACCAAGCTTCGATAGAGCCCTTCCCATACAGAAGCCTTATAGGGCCCTTAATACTTCAAACGGGAGTTTCCGAAAATAGGGGGGATACCTTGTTTTGGGGTCCTTATTATAAGGATCCTACTATTTAGGGTGCTATACTAGGGTCCCCTAT